ATAAATAGGCATGAACAGGTTCAGATAGATAGATATTTACAGGTTCAGATAGATAGATAAATAGATAGATAGATAGATAGATATTAACAGGTTCAGACAGACAGATAGATAGATAGATAGATAGATAGATAGATAGATAGATAGATAGATAGATAGATATGAAACCCTCAGATAAATACATAGATATGATATTTTGATAAATATCAGATAAATATATAGATATGAACAGACTCAGATACATTGATAGATAGATATGAGCAGAATAAGTTAGATAAGTCATTTGATAGATATGAACCGGCTGAAACAAATACATCCTCAGATGATGTGTTATATAGAGCAGAGAGAGAAAGATAAGGAAACAATTAGAGAAAAAGAAAGATATAGATATAAACAGGACTAGAGAGAAAGTAGATAGATAGACAGAAAGTATGAAGTGAGAAGGTGGAATGCAAAGGCAAAGTGTGGTAAAATGCTTGATTGAGACAAATTTTCATGGTCAGTAGATTAGCATGCTGACCAATTCCAACTTTTAACTGATATCCAGTCAAATATAGAAATATAATGAACAAGAGATCTTTGAAATTCATTTTTGGCAAAAGTGAAGGTAGGTATGTTGTCAACTCAATAGGTAGATGTGTTGTGAGGTAACAAGGTGTATTTAGATGCATTAGTGTTCTAGATACTTTTCCTTTAAATAAGTAAGCACATACCTGCAGACAGATGAGGGCATGCTGAAAAGTTCTTATTCTGATCTACTTTTAGAAGTCTGACCATTATGACCAAACATCAGAATATGGGGGGAAATCCCTTTTCGGTCAGACCAAGAACTTTAGTCACCACCTCCTTACACACACACACATATGTATGTATATATAATACTGCTGGAAGCTAAGTAAATATAGCTAGATAGCTACTGATAGATAGATAGATAGATAGATAGATAGATAGATAGATAGATAGATAGATAGATAGATATGAACAGACTGAAATAGAGAGATAAATAGATAGTGAAAAGATTGCAACAGATATGAACAGACTGAGATAGATAAAATACAAATCCAGTATACAAAGAGAAAAAGGTGTACATTCATCTACATACATGTCCACGTGTATCTCTCTCTACACTCACGCACACACACAGACATGCATATATATATATATATATATATATATATATATATATATATATAGGGATCAATTTAGAATCTGACAGAATGATAAGATGAAGATCAAAAATAAAAATAACAGAATTTCTTTCTTTCATTCTCTAGATCTAACTCTCTGATGAAGCTTTAATAAAAGTGAAACATGTTAGATTTATAAATGTTTCCTGTTTGTTTTTTATCCTATTATATATATATATATATATATATATATATATATATATATATACACAAAAGGTTCTTAGCTCAACCAAAAATGTATTTATGTGATGATGGATTATTTGCTCAGATTTCAGTAAGTAGGTCAGGCTAAGAAGTTTTTTCAGCACCCCCTTATATATAGATAGCTATGTAGCTAAATTCATGAACACATGTACATGAGTGTGATTGATTTTGAAAGAACACATGGTTCATAGAATAGTTTATATGCCACACTGTAAAGAAAATGATTTTGTGTTCATTTATTATTAACAGAATTTTACATTTGATTACCTTGTGCCAGGTTGGCTGTGAAGACTATCAATAAACATCAAATATGAACTTGTAGGCAGATAGATATATGTGCATTCATTTATGATATTCATTTTTATATGTGTGTATGTGTCTGCATGTTTGTGTGCATGAATATATATATATATATATTTTTACTCAACATAGTGCAAAGGTAAAATTTTACAATCATGAAGCACTCACTCAGGTTTGAACTCATGATTACCATGACTGTTGTAGCACTTTGTTAAATATTGCGCTATGACACAGAGTTTCTACTTACATAGTCAAAAGTGCACACACACCTGAATGTATATTCACATAAGAATGAATATATATATATATATATATATATATATATATATATATCAATGCTCTGTGGAACCAACTCCCAAGAAGATGTTTCCTCAATTACTACAATCTTGACCTGCTCAAATTTAGGGTTAACTGTTATCGTCTCTCCTATCTGTACAAACTGCTTTGTAATGTAACCCTCTACTTTGAGTATCCCCCAGGCTTTGTACCGGGTGAACCTTACTGTAAAACAAAAAAAACTATAATATATATGTATATGTATATATATATATATATATATATATATATGTGTACGTAAGAAGGTGCTGAAAAATTATTGGCCCAACCAAGAAGGGAATCCCCCAAAATACTGATGTTTGGTTATTTGCTCAAATTTTAGGAAGAAGGTCAGGCTGAGAACTTTTCGGTAATAATTTGGGTCAGGCTGAGAACTTTTCAGCAATAATGGATAAGTTTGATAGATTTAACAAACACCTTGGCCCTGATGAGTGATTCAAGATTAAACATTAGTCAGTCAACCAAACAAGTCTCTTGAACCTTACTCGATTTATTGGATATATATATATATATATATATATATATATATATATATATAGATAGATATGATGGACATAGGAATCAACATTGCATGGTGATTGTTAGTTTCATACTTCAATGCAATCTTTTATACCTGTTAATACTCTATTTCATATATCGAGCAATCTTACCTCATAAATATAGCAAATTTTAAGCAATAATAGTAAAAATAAATTAAGATGAATTATAAGCATAATTCCCTCTTTCATACTTTGGTAATCTTCATCCTGTTTCTTAATAGTAATTGATAATAAATATTTTGTTATCTATTAGCACTATCATATACGTATATAATTCAATCTGCATTCTTATATACATACATATTTTTTGTGTGTGACCCTTTATGTAGTGTAAACAGATACTATACACTGATCGATAAATAGATTGAATGAACAATATACTGATTCTTATCAGATGACCAGTAATGACGTTTTAATCTGAAATACCATGTATCAATACACTGATCCATATGTAAATAACACTATCATTTTTTATGGGTACTATGCAAGTATACATTCACAAATATGTATATGTAATAATTTACAAATATCTGGTTATAAATATTTTTCTTAGTGTATATTTATGCTGTATTTAAATTTAACTCTTTAAAATGCTCACCTGTACAGGTGAGTGAAAGTAGTAATTTAAAGGGAAAATTTTAGAGCAGAGTCATTCTCATATCTACAGACATCTTTCAAACCATGCCTATCTCCCATATATCTGTCAAGAAGGAAATAACTTATATGCTGAATGTTAAAATTCATTTCTCATTTATGAATTTAGTAAAAAGACGAAAACAAAACCCAAGTGTAATAATATGCATTAATAGTTTACAATATTTTGGGGTTGTTTTTTTCGCTTCTCTTTCAGTAATTTGTTTTCCTCATTATCACTACTAGCTTTCTCTATCAATGCTTGCTTCTAACCATACTACCTTTGTAGATCAGATGCGTCAGCACGCATTGGCATTTGCAGTAAATACAAAGCTCAAGAAATATCTCTGCAGCAAGATGAGTTTTATCGGCATATTTACAAAATGGGGAATATGTAGAAATTTAACAAGATATAAGTATATGTTGATTACCTTTACAAAAACATCTCAACATGCTAAACTCGTACATACTTATAGTCAAATAGAAAAGATACAATGACACATAAGTAAATATATATATATATATATATATATATATATATATATATATGTGTGTGTGTGTGTGTGTATATGTACAAAGTGCTAACCAAGAGTGTAGGGAATCTGAACAGATTTGATTAATGTGTTTCGACTAAGAAGTTATGAGTTTTCCATGTTTTGCCAGGAATTTCAAACATCTTTCAAAAATCACTTCAGCAGACAATAAGGAAGCACATTTTTTAATAAATGTCTCTTGAGGAAACCGTTTAGTACCTTGCATTCTCTGAATGTTTGGTTCACACCACACATCGCATAAATATTGCCTACATCTTGCTGTATTTACAGGTGAAAAGGGCTCAATATCAGATATAGAATATTTATAGAAACAGAGAGTGATGATGCAAAGACTGATTGAAGCAGGGTTTATTTCTATCCCCATTTCCCACCACCCCTGTGTGTGTACATGTATGTATATATATATGTATATATATATATATATATATGAAACATATTTCATATTTTCACATATATCTAGAAAGATATATGCATATGTATAGAAAAGAAATATATATATGTGTTTGTATGTATGTGTATATATATATATATATATATATATATATATATATATATATATATATATATGAAGCGACCTGATGATTGCATCTAGCATGAAACAGCCTGTCGCCTCTGAGTATTGACTTGAATGTTCACTTTTATATATATATATATATATTATTGAATTTGACTGACAAACTCTGTTGAATTTTTTATTACTTTATACAAATTTATTTTTATTTGATCTGAATGCTTCACTGCTAATACAATAAAGACATATCTGACTATATATACATATATAATATAAATATATATGTATATATACATATATAAACATGTTCTTACATGTGGTTTTACTTGTTACAAGAAATACATATGTATTGTAATTTTTTACTGCAAATATATCTGGAGTACAAAAATTGAAAATTAATTATAGTATGAAGGTGAAAATTAATTTTTAGTAAACCAATGCGTACTAGAAGAATTGATGTTGTTATATTTTTGCTTGAAGATGAGCTCAAACAGAAGAGAAATTGAAACAAGAAAAAAGACTTGTGTCCACAAAATGTTTTAAAATTGTTACATGAATGCCACATTTTGTATATCCTCCTGAAGATGTCGAGAGTAAATATCATATTTTGAACATAACACAAAATATAAGTAGACATGCTTTGTTGTTGAAGTTATACATTTTTTGCCAGTGCTAGTGGTTGGTGTTCAAGTTTTGGTAAGATGTCATGATAATTCAAATGCTGATTTTCAAGCAGAATATGACCTCCCCACTTGAAATATTGGCTATCGAGCAAGCTCATTATCACATTCTGTTCATATCTATCTATCTATCTATCACATTTTGTGTATATCTATTTATTGCATTCTGTTCATATCTATCCACCACATTCTGTTCATATCGATCTGTTGTGTTCTGTTCATATCTATCTATCTATCTATCTATCACATTCTGTTTATATCTATTTATTGCATTCTGTTCATATCTATCCACCACATTCTGTTCATATCGATCTATTGTGTTCTGTTCATATATAAATATCTATCTATCTATCTATCTACACACTTACACAAAGTGTATATCTATCTATCTATCTATCTATCCACTTACACAAAGAGTATATCTATCTATCTATCTACATACACACTTACACAAAGAGTATATCTATCTATCTATCTATCTATCTATCTATCTATCCACTTACACAAAGAGTACGCTCTCCATGTTTCTGTATCTAAATAAGCAACTTCCAGAAAAGTATTGGCACATTAGCATGGAGAGAGAAGGCATACAAAGTATAACTCTCCATCTATTAACAGATGTATAAGTACATTCCTAAAAGGCACACACATGCATACATTCACGTATATATATATATGGAATCAGCACTGCATGGTGACTGTCATTTTCATTCCCAATCAATAAAACTAATTAGGGCATGAAACTGACAGTCAGTTGGTTCTTAAAACCACAATGCCTATATATATATATATATATATATATATATATATATATATATATATATATATATACATACTCTATCTGTACAGCACACTCTTCTTCTGTAAATATAGTAAATTTCAAACAATACATACATATAGAGAGAGAGGGATAGAGAAAGAGACAGAATAGAGCTGATATGGTGACAAGAAAATATCATATGGGTTCTATATTCTGACAACAAAACACATTTACTGCTCAAGGGAAGATGGATGAATCATTTATAATCATCACAAGAAACACATATTACATCTAGAAATCTCCTCTCTATCTTTATATATATATATATATATATATATATATATATATATAATGTTCATGTACAGAAGCATTCACATTGATTTATCATAATAATACATTCACCTACTTTGACCAACAGTTAGCACAAGCAAAGAAGTAATTGACTCATTTATCAACAGGAATTATTTTGCACTTTTAATTTGAACTCCTCTCTTTCCCAAAAATTATCATCCACCTGAAAAAATGAATTTTTTAAATTTCTGTAAAATGTCAAGCACACATAAAAATCTTTATAAACACAGATAAATGGGTTTCATATTTATATGTATGTATACATATACATATATATATATATATATATATATATCATTACTTTATGCATTTTATATATTCTTTAAATAATCTGGCGTGTCTTTCACTCATTTTTGATTACTGAATTTCTGTGTGCATATATATATATATATATATATATATATATATATATATTTGCTAACTACCAAACTCATCAACCTCAATCAAAATCGTAGAGTCCATAACCTCACAATCTTTTCCATGGCTATATTGCATGTGCTTTGCAAGGGCTATGTGCAATTTTGAATTCAGAATTGTCTGTCTCCTAGAATGATTGCCAACTACACTTGAAGTTCTCAATTTTTCCTGCTATTTAACCCATAGCTGGGAGGGGAAGAGATGGATTCCTACATTTCCCAAATGCATTCATGTGAAAGTGAATGTAACAAACTTGATTATTTTCTTCTTTTGTATAGCATGTCATTTTAGAACATGGCTGACCATAACCCTCCACAACTTCCTATCCTTTGTATCTCTAAGCATTTTGTCTCCTTTTACTATTACCTCTCAGTTCATCTTCTGGCATCTATTTGAACAAAGTTCATTAGCTAGCTAATTCAATCTTTCCCTCTGTGTTGCTGTATTTTAAGGTTTAAAACATGAAACAAGAACAATTTTTCTAAACAAATCAAAAAATAAGTGAAATTAATATTTACCACCAGATGAGCAACTTTCATGAAAATTTGTTCAGTTCAGTTGTCATCATCACTTTTTCAAGGAAATTCTTTCCATTCTTATGTGTTTTATGTTTTCTTTTATGAACCACATTCTTAGTATGACACCATACATCCACAGGTGTTATATCAGGAGATTTGGCCAGTGACCCCTCTCTCCCAAGCCATTGATTTGATAATTTTCTACCTAAAAGCATTCCAACAACACGTGAGTAATGCAGTTCAGGTGTACCACCTTTGCTAAAAGATTCTTACTAACAAATCTCTTCTGGAGACTTTAAAACAAGAAAAAAGCAATAGTTAAACATTGTTTTAGTTTTCACCTGTAATTTTTCTGTCAATGAAGAAAAGTTCCTAAATATTTAGTTTTGGGCTTAAGTGACATTTATGGTTTGTTCAGATTGTTCATTGGCCAAAAAAAAAAAAAAATATATATATATATATATATATATATATATATATATATATAGTCATCCATAGTTTATCACATCAATG